CCTCTATTTTTATTCAAACTTTTTTAGTTTTGCAAAAAAAAATCCTCTAAATTAAATGCAAAATCCTCTTTTTCTTATAAAAATTTTATGGGAATGTCTTCTTAGGTTGTTACCCATTTAGCTCCAAGATTGTGTTTAAGCATTTGCCTAATATGTCCTAAGACATACAAACACTTAAGTAAGTCAGAATTTATCTTCTTTGTAAAAATATTTTTGGAAGCACATGAATTTTATCAATCCAGGATGTAGTATAATAATGATGCTATTTCAAAAATAACTTTAAATGGAAATATTAAAAATTTATAAGACCATGAGAAATATTTTCTAATGATCTTATAAATGACTCTCATTTAATCAAAACTACTACGTAATTAACTTACTACTAAATAATTTAGAAAACTCTTATTGGAACCAAAATTCTCAAAATATAATGGTAAGTTTGATGATTACAATAATGATGATGATGATGATGATGATGGTGATGATGATGATGGCAATGATTATTATTATTATGATGGTGGTTGTGATGACAATCATTATTTCTTTATCTTAAATGAATATGATTTTATGAATCTTAAAATTATAAGTCATTAAAACCTTTTTTAGGTTAAAGATCATGTGATGACGTAGTTACATTAAATATATATGAATAGGATCTTAGCATGTTTTATGATGTTGGTCTTTAAATCGGTCAAAAACTCAGAGAAGAAAGTATTCAGTTTATTCACAGTCAAAATTGCTTCTAAATTTAGCTGCAGAAGGAAGGGTGCATACTTTTTTAAATCAAAAAGAGTAAAGTGTTTTCTTAAATATTTCTGATATTTGAATTTTTAACGTTTGAATATTGCTGGTCATCAACTTAGTTACAGAAACTATCATGGAAGAATGCAGAAAGTTTGAAAAGTTGATACTACTGAAAAACTCTATTCTGCCAAGAAAAAAACCACGTCAATATATTAATTATCAAAATTGAATAATTATGCCTTGAGCTATAATTATCTATTTTATATCATAATTTATTTTTATACTTAAAAGTTAGCTTTTGTTAAACAAGTTTAGTATAGAAATTTGAATAGAATTTTGCGGTTTTGCTTTTTTAATTTTGTCTAAATTGTTCTTTATTGTGCATCTCTATTAGTGCATCTCTAAATAGTAAAATAACACTTGATTTAAAAATGTTTTGAATAGAAAATATTTTTTTTAAATATACTTAGGTCTGTAGCAAAAAAAGTTATAAAGCTAGAGCTTTAAAGTTTTGACTTTGATAGAGCCAATTATTAGAGTTTGTATAAATTTATAAGAAACCAAAGAAATTTCTCTAATTTGCCTCATTTAGAAATAAACTGATTATAAGAAGTTTATTAAAAAAAAAAGGGGTCCTAGTTACAAACAAATTTTTTGGTAAATGGGGGCACTTAAATTTGTTTTTTTTAAATTAGTTTTGGTCAATTTTAAATTACTTATTGTTAATTAAGATTTATAATCAGAGTAAATTTTTCAAACTTTAATTAAAGTAAAATTTTAACCTTTTATAGAACTTTTTATATGTTATTAATTACATACAAATAATATTTTTTTGTAAATTGCATAAACTTGATGCTCAAAACAATTATTATTTTCACTATTATATTCATTTTTTTAAAATATCAAAACACAATATAAGGTGAAACTCAAAATCTTTAAATCGAAAAAACAACCAGTTTTATAAATATTTGTTCCAAACTTATTCCACAACCAGGAGTCTAGCCTATTTTTGAAGGAAAGTACACTGGAGTACAAAGTTATTTGCTCTGGTAGTTCGTTCCAGTATTTTGCTGATCTATTATACAAATGATTATATCTTGGAAGACAGTTTGGAACATACTCACGCCTTATTTTAGAATGGTGACCACGAGACATGGAGTTAATATATTTTGGTAGATATTTATCATTAACTATATCAAAACGATGTATTAATTTAAAAATTTGGATTAAATCGCATCGAAGGCGTCGAAACTCAAGTGATGGTAGTTTTAATCTTTTTAGCCCTTCGCAGTATTGAAGATGCCTCAAGCTGTAAGCCTATTTTGTTGCTTTGCGTTTAACAGATTCAACCAAAGCCATGTCAGCTTTTAAATAAGGAGCATGGACACTCCATATTCAAGATGTGGTCTTATAAATACTTTATATAATTTGAGAGCCATTTTTTCATCAATGAAAGTAAATGTCTTTTCCAGCATACCAAGAATTTGTAAGAACTTAGAGACAACTGTTTGAATATGAGCACTCCACTTGAGGTTAGATATAAAAATAACTCCTAAATCACGTTCTTTAGTAGAGCTTCTTAGACATTGGTCGATTCCTTAGTTATTTTGCAGAATTTAATTGTAATGGGGGTTGTTTCGACCGTAATGAATGACGCAGCATTTTGAGGTGTTTAACTTAAGTAACCAAGTGTTTGACCACTCGTATACCAAGCGTAGACGATCCTGCAGTTCAGCAAAATTAGATTGCGATAAGATTTTAGAAAAAAGTTTAGTATTATCGGCAAATATCTCAGAAGTTTCAGTGAGTTTTGCAAGATCGTTTGTGTAGAGAATGAAGAGAAGCAGGCCGAGAACAGAACCTTGAGGAACACCACTGAGAACATCAACCCATGCAGAGTTGGTATTGTTAATTGTAATGCGTTGCTTTCTGCCCACTAAAAAGGATTTATTCCATTGAAGGAGTTTGCCGTTTATTCCGAAAGATCTTAATTTTAACAAAAGTCTGTTGTGAGGTATAGAATCAAACGCTTTGGCAAAATCAAGATAGATTACATCAATAAATTGGTGGGATGCTATGGAGGACGAAATGATGTCAAGAGTTTCTATTAGGTTAGTTACGCATGATTTATGATAAAGGAGGCCATGATGATTTGCAGAGAGCATTTTATTACCGTTCATGTGCTTTAAAATTTTGTACTTTACAAGTTTTTCGAAGATTTTACAGGCAATAGATGTTAGTGAAATAGGTCTATAATTTTCAGCAGGTAATTTATCTACCTTTTTTTTATAGATCGGACTAATATTTACTAATTTCCATCGACTGGGTACTACTCCGGAATTAAAGGATTCATGAAAGATTTTTGTTAATGGAATTGCAAAGCTTTTGGCACAAAACTTGAGTATGAAGGGATGCAGGCCGTCAAATCCGAAGGATTTATAAGGGTTTAGATCGGCAAGTTCCTGAATAATATCTGGGATAGAGAAATCCAAGTTTTCATTATAAATGCATTCAGAATGAATAACACTTTTATTTAGCAAAGGAAAAATTTCAGAGCTTTTAAGTGTAAACATAGATTCAAATTGAGAGTTCAGAATATCAACTATATCAGGAAGAGCTTCAATAATTCTGCCAGAAGTATCTTTGAGAGAGCGAATTCGATCTTTAATTTTTAGTTGTTTGTTGATATATTTGTAAACGAATTTTGGGATTTTGATATTATTTCTTTTTTGTGCCTTTTCTGCTATAAATATTTCAGCTTTTATTGAAGGATTAAGTCGATTTTATTTTAAGCTCACTATTTTCCCGTTTGGTAGAGCAGTTAATTAATATATAGTTAATATAATCCATATAATATATAGTTATTATAATCCAAGCGGATTTTTTTGCTCGGATCAATGTGGGGTAACCCGAGGACCATACTTTTTTTTTGTTTTAATCTTGGGAATCAAGTATGTGCAAGCAGTTTAAAAGTACTTTTTTTATTATTTATCAAGTTTAAAAGTAATTTTTTTAAATTTGAAAAGTATTTTTTTTTGTTTAGAAAAACGTCGCTTGAATACACTATTTTGACGTCTTTAGTAAATAAATCTATCAATAAGGATCTTTCAAGTAGTGTTGCGAAGGTAAAATTTACCGGAAAATTTTGAATCAAATTTCACTGGAAAATTTACATCACTACTTTATTACCTTTAAGACTATCGATAAAAAGCTCTGTTGCCCATACCACTTAAATAATTTTAATACTTACGTGCGCTCAATAATTATAATTCTCAGAATTGGTTAAGGACATCAGATTTTAGAGCGCACGCGCTACTTTGCGCGATACGACAGCGTTTTCTTGACATTATGTAAATAAATTTAACTCTAAAATTTAATAGACCCTAGACACAATGAAAAAAAATTTAAATTATTTAATAAAAACTTGCATTATTTCTAATAGAGTAAAAAAATTAAATTAACGAATTCAGAACAAAAAAGAAAAAAATTAATACATTACATATTCCGTTATATGCCTGAATTAACATTTGCATTATGAAATTTCATATTTCCTTCGAGATACCGATTTCATTGTAAATGCTCAATACGTGACAGGAATTTTGTTTGTAAATCTGTTTAATGGGACTAATGAATCCGAAAACATAGATATGTAGCATTAATTGTTATGGGACGTAAACTAAACTTTTTTAAAGCCGTCAAAATAGTAAAGCTATATTTACACAACACATTCCAGAAATAGAAAAACCTCAGCTGTCTTGACGTAAGGTAGACAAGATAATAAAAAATTCTTAAATTTCGCGATGACAAGACTTAAAATCTCAGTAAAATAAAGCATGGCATTAACTTCTTACAAGAAAGTGTAAACATCTAAAAACTCTTAAGGACATAGTTTAATAAACGCGCTTTTCCCGAAAGACGCATTAACATTACATCGAATATAGAAATAATACCTTTTAGGTAGTTAAAAATTAATAGCAACTATAAGAACCAACATTATAAAAAAGTTTAAACTTTTCCGAATGCGCGCACTTTAGTTTCTAATTTCATTTTTTTAATGAACTAGACAACGCGCTTAATTCTTTAAAAATACTATTAAAAAACTAACATGCAATAGCTTGTGGAACAGTGAGCAAAATCTTAAAATTTGATAAGAAAAATCCTCAAAATGAACCTTACTAAAAGTTACCCAGGGAATGCAATTCTTTCATTAAATGGGTGAAAGAAAATGTGGATGAATGCACATGAAAAGAATTAAATTTATAAGTAACATAATTGAATAATGACAATAACAACTTCCGTGATATGTTAAAAAAAAAAAGATGCCGCCAAATGTCTCAGGTTTCATAACTTCCTCTATGAATGTCCTTTTGATAACTGATGTAAATGTCTGTTAATGTTTTGATATAGATGACTTTGCAGGACAATTTAAACGCAGGTGCATGTCATTTACCATGAGCGGTTTATATTGGTAAACAAGCACATGAACTAAAAGTATGTATGTAGGGTCAGATGTATATCCTGATCAGAATGACTGGCATCAATCTATTAAAAAAAAAGTGGCAGAAAATCCCCAGTAACTGAGGAAAACTTAAGAAAAAAAGACTCAACGCCTTTGCTGTAAACCACTACCCAACTCATTTTCTGCTTGCATTATTTTCTGGTTTATAAGAAAGTATGCTATCTGCGTCTGATTCAGATCACCCTGAATCGTGAGTATTCTGTCAGTTGTCCCTGGTGCAAAATCGTTTTTAGCAGAGAACTGAATTTTCGCACCACTAAACTGAATAAATTCATGAACAGTCTTTCCATGTTTACCCAAAATAGCTCCGACAAGAACATCCGGAATTTCCATTTGAATTGAAACTGTGGTTTTAATTTGATTCGTTACACTACCAAAGTTTTGTCCCATTTGTCCGAAACCACCACCGGAATTTGAGCCGCCACCTAAACCCAGTTGATTAGCAAGTCCAGATTGTGAGAGAAGAGCTAAAGGGTTTTGAGTTAGACTGCTGAGTAACTGTTGCGATTTTTGATTGTGTTGGAGATTTCCAAGCATACTTCCTAAAGCAGAAAAACTACCTTGCAGGGTCTGACCAATATCATTATTTCCAAGGTGAGAATAGTTTGAGACTCCATTAGAATTTCTCCCTGAACCAGAGTAAGTTAAATTTTTGTTGCTCATGTTTTCAGCATCTGCGGCAATTTTGCCAATAACTTGTCTTGATGCTTCGATTCTTTGCTCAGTATTACCTGCTATTGTGATTATACGTTCCCCCATTACTTTCGATTCGTCACGACCAGATATCATTATTTTAGCTTTTGTTTCTTCTTGTAAAGATTTAATAGTTGAACCTCCACGACCTATAACTAATCCTGCAGTAGCATTAGGACAAACAATTTTTACTTTTTGTCCTCGATCTTCATCACGCATACCTTTTGGACCCTCCATGGAATCAGCATGCACTTTATCGATAATATAATTATGCAGGTCAATTATCTGACTAACATCACCAGTAAGAATAACAATTCTCTCTTCAGTGCCTGGATAAAACTCACCATTAGGAGACAATCGAATTTTTGCTCCATATCTACTTTGTAGCTCTCCGATATTTGCACCCCCTTTACCAATTATAGCTCCAGCAGCATAATTCGGAATCAATACTTTCAATAAAGGAGTAGATTCTAAAATAAAATTAAAAATCTTCAATAAAATTTTTGATATCACACACACGCACGCACGTACACACCACACACACAGTTCTTTTAATTCTCAATACTTTAAAAATTATTTGAATATTTATACATATATATTCATACACATATTAGGGCTATAACAAACTGTTTTTAAAAATGCCAGCTGACGCAACCTAAATGTGTTTTAAATAATAAAACAATACTGGGTTTAAAAAACTTTCAAATAAACTTTTTGGGTCTTTTTTTGAAATTGTTTGCTGCTACCCCCCAAATGTGTTCTATGTAATAAACACTAAACTAAAAAAAATTTTAGGGGTCGCTCAAGACCCTTAAACATTAAACAGGACAATAATATTTTGAAAGAAAATGTTCTTCAAATTATACCATCTTGGGTCTCAAAAGAAGTGAAATTTCATAAAACTTTCAGAAATAATAAAAACAATTTATGTACACAAATTAAAAAAGTTCATTTAAAAAAAATTTTTAAATATGTACTTTTTATTTTTGTTAAAAAATGATAGTTTTCAAGCCATAAAATCTTTATATAAAATGATTATTATTTTTGAAATTTTTATGATATTTCACTTCTGTTGAGACCCAACATGATATACTTTTAAAGAACATTTTCTTTCAAAATATTAGGGACCTGTTTGATGTTTAAGGCTCTTGAGCAGAAAATTTTGAAAAAAATTGTTTTTAGAGGGGCTCTAACATATATATATATATATATATATATATATATATATATATATATATATATATATATATATATATATATATATATACATATATATATACATATATATATACATATATATATATATACATATATATATATATATATATATACATATATATATATATACATATATATATATACATATATATACATATATATATATACATATATATATACATATATATATATATACACACACATATATATATATATATATATATATATATATATATATATATATATATATATATATACACATATATACATATATATATATACATATATATATATACATATATATATATATATAATATATAAAGAAAGGTATATGCAGCATTAGATGCACACTGGTAACATTATACTAAAATACTAAATAGGTAGCTGTGGGGACTTCAATACATACAACAACTATCTAGGTGAAATCTGCTACATCGACTGAGGTTTTTTTTTGCATTAATCTTAATTTTTTCCTTAATTTTCTGAAACATTCAATTAAAACACGGAAAATATATTATTCATTGTGTCCTTAGATATATACTATTCATTGTATAAATGTGAGTGTGTATATATATATGAAACTTTTTAGGGCACGAATCTACAATTTTCAACAGTGTAATTTTATTACACTAAACCTTACATCTTTACAACGACAAAAGAACAATTTTATGTTCAAGGTCTTAGAGAAACCTCTGAAAATTAAACAAGTTCTAATGGTTTTAGTACCTTAGCAGAGCCTTGTTATAACATTTTTTAGCATTATATTTTTAAACTATCATTTTGTTATTAAAACTCATTTTGTAAAATAAGATTAAAGATTTTTAAAAAATGTTGTGTGTGTATACAACATTCAAAATTGGCTGGAGGAAAATGCTATTGTGATAACCTTGGCCATAAATAAAGAAACAACAGCAAATAATAATGGCCACAGAAATTAATAGCATACTTTAAGTTGATTCTTGACAGAGTATTATCAAAGTTATAAAAACCTTGTTTATTGTATTTGAAGGTAATATTGTATATTTAATATGTTATTTTATCAAATAAAGATTATTTAAAAAGAACTGATACAAAAACTGAATATTATGCATAACTAAACAACTAAGTTTAAACAACTAAGTTTAAAACAGCTATCTACACAAACTAAAAACAACATTTTATTTTTAAAAAAATCTTTTTTTAAATAAAAATAGGCTTTTATGGGTTTCTTTAAACTAACAACTTTTAACTTTTTAAATGTTATAAACAATTATTTAAATTAATTACTGGCCTAAACAAGGCTGCCTGAATATTAACAAATAATAAAAACACTTATCTAACTTTTAGTGCTTAAAGATTAAGAAACGCTTCTCTCCTTTCATTTATTCGAGTAAGTAACAAAGACATTGAAATTAAATGTTGAAACAATTTATTAATTTAAATAATTGATTTTAAAAACGTTCTATAATATTGCTCGAAATTGATTAAGAATATTTGATGTTTAATTATTTGTTAAAAACTATCAGCTTAACAGGTATAAAATATTTAAACTTTCTATTATTTGTACAAGTCACTTGAGTAGGTTTCAATAGAAATTTGAAGAGAAATTTGCCTTGGTTCAAGATTAGTAGTAAATTAAGTAAATTGGCATTGTTTTTTGTATCGTAAATTACATAAAGTTAAACAATCTTTGCATCATATTGCATAGCGTTTTTTCGATACTAATTTAAGTACTTTGTCTTAATTCAATTAGCTATGTTATTGCGATATAAAGAATTATCGACTATAAGACTGGTCAATAATTAAACTCCTAGGTCAAAATCAAAAACTAATTAGGTAGATAATAATATATGCAAAATGCTAATTTGCACTTATGCCAATATTTGCAAATTTATTCGATACACTTATGCCAATTTGCACTTGCGCCAGATTTTGCAACTGCTTCTCTCTTATACCAATATTTTCAAATTCTTTTGGCGCACATCCTACTTCACACTTATGCGAATTTTTGCTTCGCACTCATGCCAGTTCACACTTATGAAACTCGCATTTATTCAGCCTCCTAATATAAACACCTGAGCACAAATTAGTAACACATAAACTCTATAGTTAAATATCTGGAAAATATGCATCAGGACTTTTTTGACTGCTTTAACTAAAATAATTAGAAATTTTTTGAGTGCTACAAACTGGAAAAATGTTCTTTATTTAATTTCAAGCAAAAAATTCTTTGTTTTCTGTTTTCAAACAGAAAACTTGGAACAAAAAAGTATTCTGTTCAGAAAAAAAGAACTTTACCACATCTATGGAATCATTTAAAAGGTGAAATTAAAAATTACAAGGAGTAGCACCTAAAAAGCACCCTACTTTAACTTAACACCAGATAATATTTTACAAGCTACAACTGAAATTAATTCTAGTGAGCCATGCAGGACTTTGTGGTTGTTAAGATGCTCACAGAAGTCCTTACCGACTTATCACATCACAGTTATTTAACTAGGAAGTTCACACTTGCCATACAAATGCCACTTATTTTATCTAGATAAAGTCAATCAAGGTTTGACACCAATCAGAAGGCTGGTGTCAAAACTTGGACCTCTTGGTTGTAAGCCAGAAGTCTAATATTTGCACTACGCCATGTGACTTTTAGTATTTCTTTTTACTTAACATGTTTTAAAAAGTAGAAATAAAGAGGATATATATATATATATATATATATATATATATATATATATATATATATATTATACAATAATTAAACCGCTTTAACCAATGATAAAAAACTATAGTACCCATTCATGCTGACGATAAAACTTGTTTTATTTTTTAGAGAATATTAAGTTGTCATTGTAAAATGCTATATAAAGCAACAATAGATCAACACTGAGAATTAGCTGTTTTTTTTTTTTTTTTTTTTTTTTTTTTTACATTATTCACCTCCCCAAGGCCCGAGGGGGCCACTACAGTCGAGGAGGCTACTAATTTTTTTGTGTTTTTTATTTTTTTGTTGTATTTCGTGGTACAACCCTCTCTCAACTCTTTAACTCCGAAACACGAACCTTAACAAGCAAGGCCGCTGCGCGGAGAAACTAAGTTGAGCGCGGTACTTCCAGGGACGTGATGGGAGTCGAACTCCGAACCTCTCGCTTACAAAGCGAGCGCTCTTCCCACTACACCACTGCCGCACCGTTTTATACAGTTTATACAGGCTTGGTTGGGAAGTGGGTGCTATTGCATTCTATTTCTGACCATTCATGTAATACTTGGTTACGACAACTCAACCCCACTTTTTTAGATGTTTCAAGAATATTCAAATTTTTGTATGTTTCCATGTTTGTCAGAAAAAGTCAAACACGTTAAAAACTTTTTTTTTAAAAACATTTTTCAACATAAATTTTGTAACATTAATCTTTTGTAATGAAAGGTTTTTATATTAGATTTACTAGTATTGATTATTTGAATTTTTTTTTTTTTATTAAATTATATAAAGTATAGTAAATTATGTAGACATAATAATTTTTTATTTTTTAAATCTAAATATTTCTAAATAATTTATACCATTGATTTTATAAAACAAGACTTTTAACAAAAACTACATTTTATATGAAATTTAAAAAATATTTATCATTTGACTTCTAAAACTAATAATAAAATTAACATACACAGGTTTTCACAGGAAGGTGTGCGATCGCACGTCTTTATATGACCACACAAAAAAATTTTTTTTAAGGATTTGACCATGGTTTTTGATATATTTTCAAAACTTAAAAATGCCCTACAAAAACTTACCTAAACTTATTTATAAAAAAAAAATTGTAAAAACACAAAAAAATCTTAACGAAAGAGAAAATAAAAAAAAAAAAAAAACACTTAGTTAAAGCAAAAACACAAAAAAATTAATAAATATATAACCCAACTGAAACAAAACTCAAACTAAAATGCTTAGTCTATTTAATTTACGCATTAAAAAACCATTTAAATCTTTGTTTTAACATTAGTACTTTTATTTTATTTAATTTTTTAAAAGATAATTATTTCTCATATAAAATACATAATTATATAAATATTAAAAAAAAAAAAAAAAAACCAACAGTTTTATACTTTTTTTAAAAAATTAATTAGAAGTGTTTTGTTACTTCATTGAAAAGCGTTTCAATAAGGGGTCGTCCATAAAGTATGTATGCCAAAAATTTTGAAATTCGACCCCTCCCTGTTGCCATGCATACTTTTAAGTCTCCCCCCTGTATGTACGTATTTAAAGTACTCCCCCTCC